TTAATTTCTCTCTCTCGATATTTGCTTGATCGGTCAAGTAATCAAGTGAAAGAGATAAAAACTCTCCATTGGAATCACAACAAGCTTTTTTATTCCCTAGATAATCGTGAACTGAACTAATCAAATTAGCAATTTTTTCTTCACCCGTATTACCAAGTCGCATCTCGTTTATGAATGTTTGTAGAATACAAGTCCAGGCCAGTGCATTGTAATCTTCGGTCCCTAATTTTAGCAATTTGATCGCTAATTCTCGATCAATAGATGATCCATCACCATTCTTTAGATAAAATAGTAATAGTTTTAACAATCGATCAGTTAATTGTTTACTTTTAGCAATTATTTCGATCCCTCGTTTCCATTGTTGTGATGATTGGATGGCTTGATAGAAATACTCTTCTTCTTGTTCAGAGTTCAGATTTAGATGCTAATAGTTCAACAATTTCCTGGTGTCGATGTTGATCTAATAATGTGTCCAAATTATTTCCATTCATCTTATTAATCATTGATCTAAGACTAGAAGAGTTATAGACAGTCTGATTTGCCGCTTGCACTAATTTGAGGTTAGACTTTTCGAAAACTTCATTTGCCATAAGAAGATAATCAACTTTAGATTCTTTGATTCCTCGAAGAATCATGAGACGAATGAAAAATTTATCATAATCGTTGGGATTCAATAAATCTCGCAGATATGGAATTGATTCAGTCAAAAATATTGCTTCAGATTGATTAAACTTCACTTCATTGGCAGTTAAGATCAATTTTGTCGCTAATATTCCAATACCACTGGTACAAAGCGTTGAAAGTTTGGACCTTTTTCGATAAATTCCATACAGATCCATGAAATTAGAAGGTAATTTGATTGCAGTGGATTCGTTTGCTATTTCGTAGAGAAGATCAGAGATAAGCAGGTGGATTTGTTTTCCTTTTGAGACGAATGGTATTTGTTTCGAGCGATAACGGGTTAAAATTAAATGTTCCACTTGAGCTTCGTTCTGTGTTTGTACCTGTAATTCCTCTTCTTGGACTATTTCACGAGTTAAAACACTTTCGGGGAACATGAAGAAAATCTTTTTGTACATATTGTCCACTGTTGCATCGGTTGTCTTTTTATCACGAACTGATCTTCGTTTCATAGATAACTCAGGACTTGATCCGCGTGTCTTTCGCTTATTATTTTGATTTAGGGTTTCCTTGTGAGAACTTCGGATAGACCGAGGAGCATTGCCATTTGGAACAGGATTGGAAGAGATAGTGATTGATATTAACGAATTAGGATCGACTTTATGTTCTGTCATTTTGTTTTTAACGTCTATCAAGGCTGAAATTAGAGATTTTAAAGAGTTATAGCTGGTGTCATTGAGATCGAAACTTAAAGATTTCCGAAAATTTTCTCGTTTTGCTTCACTTTCCTTTCGTCTCTCATGGAGTTGTTTTAAATTCTCCAGTACTTCTAGAAGTTTCATCATTCTTTCTAAGTCTTGCTCAGGATTCCAATTTTTTAGATATTTAAGACGGACAGGCAATTTAGATTCTAAAGATGGCAAACGTTTCAACATCTCTGATATTAATACACGAGCTTTAAAGTAATTGCCATCCTTCATTAATCCTTTGATTCCGAGTTGTAGACAATTATTGTTATCATTGAGCACGAAATGAAGACCCATTAATGTGTCGAGAACAAACCAATTGGTTGGATCGATTCGATGAGCTTCTTCAAAACATATCCGAGCAAACTGCAAATCTACTGACTGATTAAGAGCTCGTTTACCAGTTTCAATTAATAGAGTAACATCACCACCAGCAATGGAAGAACAGTCGAGAAAATAATCCAGATCATTTCTTGTAAGTTGTTTTTGATTCGTGAGGTTGACAAACTTTTGTTGGATACAGTTGACAAGATTTCCTGACTTACAGTTGCAGGATTGAGAGTTACAGTCATTTTTATGGCGAAGATGATCTTTGATAAAGTCGTGAGCCAATTTAAGTAAATTATCTGGAAAGAATGGACTATGATTAGACTTCCAATTCCGTGGACCAGAAACCAACTCATGAAAATCAGTCTCTTCACTCCAAACAACGCCCGATTTTGCTAATTCAGGAATATTATACGATTGGACGATCTCGTAATTTCGAGTCCGCAAGTTTATAGTTAAGTTTATCCGACTTGATTAAATTGATTATTCCAAGTTTATCATTTCGATTTAATAGATTCGAAAATTGTTTAACTTTGTCAGCTGCATTTCGCAAAGAGTCTAATTGATCTTTGTTAATGTTCACATAAGATTCCAATTCCTTTTGCAAGTGGTTGATTTGCTTATCGAACTTGTCCTTTTCTTTTTCAATTTCATTCGCATACTCTTTCAGTCTTATGTTCAATAGATCCAATTGCTTTTGTACATCAGCAAGATAAAATTTAATATTTTCAGTTACACTGATGTTGTTGGTATCGGTGTTGTTGTTGTCCAGTTCAATTGGTACGATATTAGAAGAATTATTGTTCTTTGCACATTTTGCACAAAACAATTCACTGGTTTCATTGTCGAAAAATTGAGCGATGCATTTGCTACATTTGGAACATGGTTGATCATCAGTCTCCGAACTGAGAATCACAGCAGAGCATCGTTTTGATGGTAAAATTGTTCTATGAAAACTAAGTAAATGAGGCTCACAAAAATCTTTTTCATCACAAAAACAATGGAAAATGGCTTGATTGTTACAAACGGAATCATCTCTACATCTTTTCCTTTCAATGGCTTTGAGATAATCAGTTTCGACGAGTTTAGATTTACACAAGACACACAAATCATTTTCTTGTTTACACTTTTCACAAAATGTTTTTAAACATTTGTGAACATAAAAACATCACTTTGATCGTGACCACAGTCCAGCTTGTCGATTGATTGACTACTCATTTCTTGTTGATAAAAAGATTCAAATTTTGAGTGAAAGGTTAGTCAATATTAGTCAAGAGATGATCAAAGGAGTTAAAATCAAAATATTGAAGGCCAATCTCCAACATGACATGAGCTTTAAAAATTGTTGTTTGGAAATTTTAATCCTGCAAAGTAACTGTAGAGACGATAAGATTGGCACCATTAATTAATTACCATTTGGCTAGATAATTAGATTTAATTAATTTAACATTTTCTTGCTTGTCAATGTTGATAATCACATCCATTTGTATAAGTAAACATTGTTATTAAACAATTAACCTCGTTAACAATTCTTATGACCAAATTTCCACATCCTTAAACATCGGAAACACTGGAAACAAATTTAAAGGCTTATTGATAATTGCAAGTTGATTCAGTTTCTTGGTTAACATAATTGTTACAAATTAAAGACTCAAAGGGGAAACCAAAGTAAAACTTAAGATTCATTAAATTAAAAGAACAAATTACATAATTTGAGGCCGAAACGAAGCTCAAAGTTTAAGGCAACGAGACTCGTTGAACGAGAGTTAAAGTAACAGTTTTTTACTCTTCATTTTAAAAAATGAAAAAAGAGAAAAACAAAAAAGGCGCGACATTCGAATCAAATTATTTAATTACCAGAAATTTTATTCTTAATTACAATTTAATTGGAATATTTGTTTATCTGGTTCTTAGAGCTTATCATATACCATAGATTCAAATTTTTGATGGCCCATTTAAAGGAGAACGTTGATCAATTATTGATTCGATGAAGCGGAATTATGGAAATTTCAAAAGTTCAGTGAGTTTCTTTCGAGAGAACCAAAGATCTCAAGTCATAAAATAATAACAGAAAATGTTTTTCATAAAAATAAATAATTATTCAAATTGAACAAATTGAGTTTCGTTAAGAATTAGAAATGGTTCTTGCAATTTAAAAAATATTGTTTAAAAAATCTCTCACCATGGAAATCAATTAATAAAATTAATCAATTGTTACAAATTCGACGTTTTTCGAGAAATTGTTGAGCCTGTTGCTTATATTAATCGATCAATACAATTAATCAATTGTTATACATTCGTCGTGTTTTTCGAGAAATTGTTGAGCCTGTTGTTTATAGATAGGATATTCCATCAATTTGTTACAAATTCTCCTTACATCAACTTTTATTTGATCTAAATTGTTTCGATTTCCTTTTGCTTTTGCAATTCGACTTTCGTAAACGTTGAAACAATGTTCCATTGATTGTTTTCCAAGATTTTCCCGATCGGTTTCACAAAGATATTCTTCAAATGCTTCTGAGCTCAGAAGCATTGTGATTCTGAACAATTGTTCAGCATCTCCCAAATTCTTGTTTACATTAATCAATAACAGAGTCGATCGAAGCATATGAGTAATAAAACTTCCTGGTCTGTCAAATATCGCATCTAGGTACATTAGATCAGGGAGTGCGTCCCAATCATCAGTCAAGTCAAAAAGACCATCAAACCTATGCCTGTATTCTGAAACAGTTGAAATTTCCCCATTTGATGTAGAGCCTTGTGAATTAGGTGGAAATAGAAATTTATTTGTAAGTACCTTTTGTGAGAATCGATAGTCTTTAGTCAGAAAATAATGATGAGCAATTCGATAGAGTGATTTGTAATGCTGAGAACGTTGTCTTAAAATATTTAAAATCGCTTCAAGACACATTTGTACTATTCTGGTCAATAGTTGCTCGCTATCACTTTCGAGGATTCCATCATGGACCAGAGTAGCCAAATCAGTCACCGTTTCGTTGACATCTCGCATGATTTCATCATCTGTTTCATCTCTTAGATTAAACCAGAACCGAAATAGCTTTTTTTTGAGTTAGAAACAACATAATCTGTGATAATATTTTGTTGGCGGAGTTTTGTGCTATTAATATACTTGAGGACACAAGCGTGAATACGATAGTGAATTTCGTTGCAAAATTATCACAAATTTCATAGTCATAACCGATTCCACGATTTGCTGCACTTGAGAACATATGAATCTTAGATAATTCATAATATCGAAGTGTTTGTAAGATGTTACTTCTTTCAGCAATTTTCCTAAGAAATAATTCATCCAAATTTCATCAGCATCACCAAATTTGTTAGCTGATTCGAAGCAAACTCGAGCTTGATCTAAGAATTGCTTTCGCCGTTGATTCATTGTTTCTTTCCCCGAATTTTCCAACACTGGCCGGATTTTCATGATTCGAGAAATATAGCTCGCGATGTTATAAGCACACTTTCCATTTTCGAACCATACCTTGAATTATTATCTTTAAGCCGAATCGCTTCATTGAAACACCGTAATACTTTTTCTTCTAAAAGCAACATTTCTTCAGTAGATGAGCAGAAATCTCGACAACTCTGTTTTAAAAGAAATTAGAGATTAATTAAAGATTAGAAATTTAACAAAATAAACAAAAGATCAAATACTTACAGTCGAAGAATATTGATTTGTTATTGCGAGAGCACAACCAACCCATGAATCAAATCGACTTCGATTTAAAGTTAAATCAAGAATATAAAATTTGCTGGCTTTTCTATGAATTAGATGAATAATATTATTAGAAATCATTTTAAATTTTGAGCTATTAAAATGAATTAACTTACTGAAAGTGGCCGTGTTTTAAGTAATAATCAGCTAAATAATAGTAAAGGTCTTGAGTAACATGATTTGTTAAAATACTTGTTGTAGGTTCAATTGATTTTCCATGATCGATATATTCTTTGACAGAACTGGAAAATCTTTCAGGATTTAAATTTTCAGGGACCAAGGGAAGTAAATTGCGTAGAAGCTCTACAGTATTTAAATCGATTGATTTATCTGTTTCACTATCAAACTTTGGTAAAGTTTCAGGGATGAAGTAATCGTAAATAGGACGAATGTCCTTCCAACGTAGAGAAACTCCTGATTCATGATTAGCTGATAGAAAGCTACATTCTAATTGTTTGTAATAGCAGCCAAGGCAGCTGAGAATTAGCCCCTCTTTGATTCTGCTACATTGAAAAATCAGATAATCAAGTGCGAGAGATAAAAACTCTCCATTGTAATCACAACAAGCATCTCTATGACCTAAATAATCGTGAACTGAACCAATCAAACCAGTGATTTTTCCATCGTCTAATTTACCATCTCGCATTTCATTTATGAATGTTTGTAGAATACAAGTCCAGGCCATTGCATTGTAGTCTTTAGTCCCTAATTTGAGCAAATTAATGGCCAACTCACGATCAATTGATAGTTTATCACCATTCTTTAAACAAGCTCGTAACAGTTTTAACAATCGATCAGTTAATTGTTTACTTTTAGCAATAATTTCGATTCCACGTTTCCATTGTTTTGATGACTGAATAGCGCGACAAAGGTACACTTCTTCTTGTCTAGAGAGCTCAGATTTAGATGCTAATAGTTCAACAATTTCATCGTGTCGGTGGTGATCCAATAACGTGTCCAAATTATTTTCGTTCATCTTGTTGATCATTGATTTAAGAATAGACGAACTAAAAAATGTTTGATTTGCTGTTTGAACCCATTTAAGGTCAGATTTTTCGAAAACTTCATTTGCCATTAGAAGATAATCAACTTTAGATTCTTTGATTCCTCGAAGAATCATGAGACGAATGAAAAATTTATCATAATCGTTGGGATTCAATAAATCTCGCAGATATGGAATTGATTCAGTCAAAAATATTGCTTCAGATTGATTGAATTTCACCTCATTGGCAGTTAAGATCAATTTTGTCGCTAATATTCCAATACCACTGGTACAAAACGTTGAAGGTTTGGACAATGGATAACTTTTTCGATGAATTCCATACAGAACCATGAACTTAGAAGGTAATTTGATATAAGCTGCTTTGTCTACTATTTCGTAAAGAAGATCGCTAATAAGCAGATCGATTTGTTTTCCTTTTGAGACGAATGGTATTTGTTTCGCGATAACGGGTTAAAATTAAATGTTCAACTTGAGCTTCGTGCTGAGTATGTATCATTAACTCGTCGTCTTTCTGGACTATTTCACGAGTTAAAACACTTTGGGAACATGAAGAAAATCTTTTTGTACATATTGTCGACCGTTGCATCGGTTGTCTTCTTATTTCGAATTGGTCTCCGTTTGACAGATAACTCAGGACTTGATCCTCTTGATCCTATGGTCTTTCGCTTATTATTTTGATTTAGGGCTTTCTTGAGAACTACGGATAGACCGAGGAGCATTGCCATTTGGAACAGGATTGGAAGAGATAGTGATTGATATTAACGAATTAGGATCGATTTTATGTTCTGTCATTTTGTTTTTAACGTCAATCAAGGCTGAAATTAGAGATTTTAAAGAGTTATAGCTGGTGTCATTGAGATCGAAACTTAAAGATTTCCGAACATTTTCTTGCTTTGTTTCACTTTCCTTTCGTCTCTCATATAGCTGTTTTAAATTCTCCAGAACTTCTAAAAGTTTCTTCATTCTTTCTAAGTCTTGCTCAGGATTCCAATTTTTTAGATATTTAAGACGGACAGGCAATTCTGATTCTAAAGATGGTGAAAGTTTCAACATCTCTGAGACTAATACACGAGCTTTAAAGTGATTGCCATCCTTCATTAATCCTTCGATTGCGAGTTGTAGACAATTATTGTGATCATTGAGCACGAAATAAAGACCCATTAATGTGTCGAGAACAAACCAATTTGTTGGATCGATTCGATGAGCTTCTTCAAAACATATCCGAGCAAACTGCAAATTTACTGACCGATTAAGAGCTCGTTTACCAGTTTCAATTAATAGAGTAACATCACCACCAGCAATGGAAGAACAGTCGAGGAAATAATCCAAATCGTTTTTTGTGAGTTGTTTCTCGTTTGTGAGGTCAACAAACTTTTGTTGGATACAGTTGATAAGATTTCCTGACTTACAGGGGCAGGATGGAGAGTTACAGTCATTTTTATGGCGAATATGATCTTTGATAAAGTCGTGAGCCAATTTAAGTAAATTATCTGGAAAGAATGGACTATGATTAGACTTCCAATTTCGTGGACCAGGAACCAATGCATGAAAATCAGTCTCTTCGGTCCAGTTAAAACCCGATTTTGTTAATTCAGGAATATTATACGATTGAATGATCTCTTCAACCCACAGCCGTAATTTCGAGTCCGCAAGTTTATAGTTGAGTTTATCCGACTTGATTAAATTGGTTATTCCAAGTTTATCATTGCGATTCAATAGATTCAAAAATTGTTTAACTTTGTCAGTTGCATTTCGCAAAGAGTCTAATTGATCTTTGTTAATGTTCACATAAGATTCCAATTCTTTTTGCAAGTGGTTGATTTGCTTATCGAACTTGTCCTTTTCTTTTTCAATCTCATTCGTATACTCTTTTAGTTTTATGTTCAAAAGATCCAATTGCTTTTGTACATCAGCAAGATAAATTTTAACATTTTCGGTTTCTCTTATGTTGTTGGTATCGGTGTTGTTGTTGTTGTCTAATTCAATTGGTACGATATTAGAAGAATTGTTATTCTTTGCACATTTTGCACAAAACAATTCACTGGTTTCATTGTCGAAAAATTGAGCGATACATTTGCTACATTTGGAACATGGTTGATCATCAGTCTCCGAACTGAGAATCACAGCACAACATCGTTTTGATGGTAAAATTGTTCTATGAAAACTAAGTAAATGAGGCTCACAAAAATCTTTTCATCACAAAACAATGGAAAATGGCTTGATTGTTACAAACGGAATCATCTCTACATCTTTTCCTTTCAATGGCTTCAGTTTCGACAAGTTTAGATTTACATGACACACAAATCATTTTCTTGTTTACACTTTTCACAAAATGTTTTTAAACATTTGTGAACATAAAAAACATCACTTTGATCGTGACCACAGTCCAACTTGTTGATCAATTGATCAATGTTGATAATCACATCCATTTTTAATAAGTAAACATTGTCATTAAACAATTAACCTCGTTAACAATTCTTATGACCAAATTTCCACAACCTAAAAGGAAAACACTGGAAACAAATTTAAAGGCGCATTGACAATTGCAAGTTGATTCGGTTTTTTGATTCACAATATTGTTACAAATTAATTAAAGACTCAAAGGTGAAACAAAGCTAAACTTAAGATTCATTAAATTATAAGAACAAATTATCTTATTTAATGCCGAAACGAAGTTAAAGTTTAAGAAAACGCGGCTGTTAAACGAGTAATAACAGATTTTTATTCTTAATTTTAAAAAATAGAAAGAAGAGAAAAACAAAAAGGCGCGAGATTCGAATCAAATTACCAGAAATTTTATTCTTAATTTTAATTTAATTGGAATTGGTTTATCTGGTTCTTAGAGCTTTTCATATACCAAAAATTCAAATTTTGCTGATCCATGTAAAGGTGAACTTTTATCAATAAATGATTGTATCGAGTGGAATAATGGAAATTTCAAAAGTTCGTTGAGTTTCTTTCGAGAAAACCAAAGATCTTTAGTCACAAAAAATAGCAGAAAAATATTTTCGTTGTAATAAGAATAGTTATTCAAATTGAACAAATTTAGTTTTGTTAAGAATTAGAAAAGATTCTTGCAAATTCGAGAAATATTGTTGAAAGAACCTCTCATCATGGAAATCGATTGCTAAAATTCATCAATTGCTACACATTGAACAAGTTTTTCGAGAAATTGTTCAGCTTGTTGTTTATAAATAGGATATTCCATCAATTTGTTACAAATTCTCTTTATATCCTCTTTAATTTGATCTAAATTGTTTCGATTTCCTTTGCTTTTCAATTCGACTTTCGTAAACGTTAAAACAATGTTCCACTGCTTGTTTTCCAAGATTAATCCGATCAGCATCAAGAAGAAATGTTTTGCTACCCAATTCGGATGAAGCATAAAACGTTGCAATTTTGAACAATTTTTCAGCATCACCCAAATTATAATTCGTCCAAATTTCGTCAGCCCTGGAAAATTTGCTAGTTGATTCGAAGCAAACTTGTGCTTTGTCTAAGAACCGCTTGTGCTGTTGGTTCATTTCTGCTTTTTGTGAATTCTCCAAGACTGGTCCAGATTTCATGATTCGAGAAATATAGCTCGAGATGTTATGAGCGCACTTTCCATACTTATACCATACCCTGGATTTATTATCTTTAATCCGAATCGCTTCATTGAAACATCGAAATACTTTTTCTCCCAAAAGCAACATTTCTTCAGTAGATGAGTAGAAAACTTGACAATTCTGTTAGAGAATAGAGATTAGAGATTAGAACTTTAACAAAATAAACTCGAGTTTAATACTTGCAGGTGAAGAATATTGTTCAATCTCATCTGCTAGTGAAAGAGCACAACCAACCCATGAATCGAATCGATCAAGATTTAGAGTTAAATCAAGAATATAGAATTTTATCGCATTCCTATGATTTAGCAAAAAAGAATTAGAAATGTTATTAAATCAATTAAATAAATGAATCAGGATTAGAGTAATGGATTATCATTATACTTACTTAAAGTCTTTGTGTTTTAGGTAATAATCAGCTAAATAATAATAAATATTTTGAGTAACTCGATGTTTTGGAATATTTGATGAAGCTTCAATTGGTTTTCCATTATCAATATATTCAGAAATAAATTGAGAATATCTTTCAGGATTTAAATTGTCAGGAATCATCGAAAGTAAAGATCGAAACAGCTCCTCTGTCTTTGAATCAATTGGGTCAGAACTTTCGTCAAAACTTGGCAACTTTTTAGGAGTAAAGTGATCATAAATAAAATGAATATTGTCCCAATGTAGATTAACCCCCGTTCCTTTATGAGCAGTCAGAAAGTTACATCGTAATTGTTTGTAAAAACAACCAAGACAGTTGAGAATTAACTTTTCTCTTTTGATATTTACTTGATAGATCAAGAAATCAAGTGCTAGAGATAAAAACTCTCCATTGAAATCCCAACACCATCCTTTATTCCCTAGATAATTATGAACTGAAATAATCAAATCGACAACTTTTTCTTCGTTCGTGTTACCAAGTCTCATCTCGTTTATAAATGTTTGTAGAATACAAGTCCAGGCCATTGCATTGTAATCTTCTGTTCCCAACTTCAACAATTTGATAGCCAATTCTTGATCAATAGATGTTCCATCACCATTCTTTAGACAAGATTTTAAAAGATTTAGCAATGTGTCGGGTAGTTTTTTACTTTGGGCAATTATTTCGATCCCTCGTTTCCATTGTTGTGACGATTGAATAGCTTGACAAAGATACTCTTCTTCTTGTCTGGAGAGCTCAGATTTAGATGCTAATAGTTCAACAATTTCTTCGTGTCGATGTTGGTCCAATAACATGTCCAAATTATTTTCGTTCATCTCGTTGATCATCGATCTAAGACTAGAAAAGTTATAGACAGTCTGATTTGCCCCTTGCACTAATTTAAGGTTAGACTTTTTGAAAACTTCATTTGCCATTAGAAGATAATCAACTTTAGATTCTTTGATTCCTCGAAGAATCATGAGACGAATGAAAAATTTATCATAATCGTTGGATTCAATAAATCTCGCAGAAATGGAATTGATTCAGTCAAAAATATTGCTTCAGGTTGATTAAATTTCATCTCATTGGCAGTTAAGATTAAGTTTGTCTCTTCTGGTGTTATGTTCTTGGTTGAAATAGTTGAAAGTAGCGGATACCATTTTCGATGGATTCCATACAGATCCATGAAATTGGAAGGTAATTTGATTAAAGCTGCTTGATCTGCTATTTCGTAGAGAAGATCACTTATTAGTTGGTTAAACTCTCTGCCTTTTGAGACGAATGGCTTTTGTCGGAACATGTAACGTGTCAAAATCAGATTCTCCACCTGAGCTTTGTTCTGTGTTTGAATCTCTGAGTCACTTTCTTGGTGTATCTTACGAGTTAAAACACTCTCAGGGAACATCGAGAATACTTTTTTATACATATTAATACATGAATAGTTGACTTTTTTACGCTTAGCCGAAGATAATCTTAGTTTATTAGATAAACCATAGCTTCGTCCTTTCTTTTTACGCTTAGTATTATGATTCGACATTTCTATGTGCGTACAATCAATACTCGGAGGAGTAATTGGTTGAGCGATAGAACTGTTATGGATTTCTAACCTTATTACTTCATTTAAATCAACTCTGTGTTTTGTCATTTCATTATGAACAGATATTAAAACTGAAATTAGGATTTTAACGACGAGAGTGTTTCTGCATTGAGAGATAAATTCAAAATTTCCGAGCATCATCTTGATTTGCTCCACATACGCTTCGTAAATTATAGAGTTCTCTTAAACTCACGAGCTCGTCCAAAATTTCTACCTTTCTATGACCTTCACAAGGATTCCAAATGTCTATGAACTGTAGGTCAGAAGGTAATTTTGATCGTAAAGGCGGCAAACGTTTCAACACCTCTGAGACTAATACACGACCTTTAAAGTAATTGCCATCCATCATTAATCCTTTGATTGCGAGTTGTAGACAATTATCGTGATCATTAAGCACGAAATGAAGACCCATTAATGTGTCGAGAACAAACCAATTGTTTGGATCGATTCGATGTGCCTCTTCAAAACATATTCGAGCAAACGTCAAATCTACTGCTTGATTAAGTGCTCGTTTACCAGTTTCAGTTAATAGAGTAACATCACCACCAGCAATGGAAGAACAGTCGAGAAAATAATCCAAATCGTTTTTTGTAAGTTGTTTCTCGTTTGTGAGGTGAACAAACTTTTGTTGGATACAGTTGATAAGATTGCTCGACTTACAGGGGCAGGATGGAGAGTTACATGTATTTTTATGGCGAAGATGATCTTTGATAAAGTCGTGAGTCAATTTAAGTATATTATCTGGAAAGAATGGACTATGATTAGACTTCCAATTCCGTGGACCAGGAACCAACTCATGAAGAACAGTCTCTTCGATCCAGTTAAAACCCGATTTTGTTAATTCAGGAATATTATACGATTGGACGATCTCTTCAACCCACAGCCGTAATTTCGAGTCCGCAAGTTTATAGTTGAGTTTATCCGATTTTATTAGATTAATTATTCCAAGTTTATCACTGCGATTCAATAGATCTAAAAATTGTTTAACTTTGTCCACTGAAGCTCGCAAAGAGTCTATTTGATCTTTGTTAATGTTCACATAAGATTCCAATTCTTTTTGCAAGTGGTTGATTTCGTTATTGAACTTGGCCTTTTCTTTTTCAAACTCATTCGTATACTCTTCAAGCTTTGTGCTCAATAAATCCAATTGATTACCAATAATATCCCGATGAATATGAAAATTTTTGTCAATATCGATGTTAACGGTGGTATGATTGTTGTTGTCACGGTCAATGGGCACAATATTTGCTGACTTATTCTTACTACATGTCTCACAGAATAGTTCATTAGTTATCTTGTCCACAAATTCAGCGATAAAATTGTCACATTTGGAACATGAAGGTTCATCCGTGCTCGAATTGAGAATAACAGCACAACATCTTTTAGATGCTAAAATTTTCGATGAAATTTGAGTAAATGAGCCTCACAAAATCTTTTTACTACAAACAATGGAAAATGGCTTGATTGTTACAAACGGAATCATCTCCACATCTTTTCTTGTCAATGGCTTTGAGGTAATCAGCTTCGATGAGATCGGTTTTACATAAGACACATGGTCGGTTTTCTTGTTTACAGTGATGACAAAATGTTTTTAAACATTTGTGAACATAAAAAACGCCGCTTTGATAGTGACCACAGTCCAACTTGTTGATCAATTGATTGCTTATTCCCTGTAAATAAAGAGATGCAAATGGTCATAAGTATATGATGATGTAAAATATCTTCTAATAGATAGAGTGAATTATTTAATAAAACAAGAGATAATAAAAATAGATAACAAAATCAATACTTACTTTTATCATAATTCAATGGGAATATGATCATTTTAACCATGTAAAAGTCACTGTCACCACTAAATTATTATCAATCAATTAGATAATATGAGCTAAACATGAGACTGTCCCAACGATTTTGCATAAATGTTGACAATCAATTTTTAATGAAAGCAAACATTTATAGTTAACAATCAACCTCGTTAACTATTCAAACGAGAAAAGTTTCAATTTCCAAAAGGAAAATAATGGAAACACTTTTACTAATTGATTCACTTTCTTAGTGGAATAAGATTCTTTTTAATTGTTTCAAATGAATATTCCAATCCACTAACAAAAGGCCTAAATGGTTAACAATTGCTATAATTAAGATAAATTTAGTTAAATTAATATTTAAAAGTTTGTAGGTTAAGGCAACAGGTTAAAGTTGACTAAATTATTTTCTAAAATTTGTAAACATTCAAAAAGAAAACAAAAACAAAAAAAAGGCGCGCGATTCGAATGTTAATTAATCTAATTAAAGAATTTTCGTTCTTAATCTCAATTCAATTGGATGATATGTTTATCTAATTCCAACAACTTATAATGAACCAGCTGATTTGAATTTTTGTTCTCTTCTAATGAAATAAATTAATTGTCGTTTATTATCAATTACATTTGTATTAATCAAGAAATTAAAAATTCTAATTTACATTAAACTTTTGTGAGAATGGAAATAATAAATTGAATAAGATTATTATATTTCTTTATTATTTAGGATATTATATATTATTTTGTTTCGAAAATTTTTTTTGTTCTCATAAAAAAAAGTAAATTGGAAAATCTTTGATCGTTAAAATCAATCAATTAAAAAAGATTCACTCAAATGATGATAATTAATCAATTGTTATACACTCGACAAAGCCGCCTTATTATTTGTGAAATTTAGTTTCGTTAAAGATTCTGGCAAATTTGAGAAATATTGTTAAAAAAAATCTTTCATCATGGAAATCGATCACTTCAACTAATCAATTGTTACACATTCGACATGTTTTTCGAGAAATTGTTCAGCCTGTTTTTTATAGATAGGATATTCCATCAATTTGTTACAAATTCTTCTTACATCAACTTTTATTTGATCTAAACTGTTTCGATTTCCTTTTGCTTTTGCAATTCGACTTTCGTAAATGTTAAAACAATGTTGCATTGATTGTTTTCAAGATTTTCCCGATCGGTTTCACGAAGAAATCCTTTGCTACCCAATTCTGATGAAGCCAAAATCGTTGCCATTTTGAACAATTGTTCAGCATCTCTCAAATTATAAGCCATCCGAATTTCATCAGCCTTAGAAAATTTGCTAGTTGATTCGAAGCAAACTTGTGCTTGGTCTAAGAATCGCTTATGCTGTTGGTTCATTTCTACTTTTTGTGAATTCTCCAAAACTGTTCCAAGTTTCATGATTCGAGAAATATAACTCGCGATGTTATAAGCACACTTTCCATATTTATACCATACCTTGGATCTATTATCTTTGAGCCGAATCGCTTCATTGAAACACCGAAATACTTTTTCTCCTAAGAGCAGCATTTCTTCAGTAGATGAGTAGAAAACTTGACAATTCTGTAGTTGTAATTAAATAGAAATTTGAGATTAGAACTTGATAGAAAAAAATAAACTCTAATATTAAAGTTTAATACTTACAGGCGAAGAATATTGTTCAATCTCATCTGCTAGTGAAAGAGCACAACCAACCCATGAATCGAATCGATTGCGATTCAAAGTTAAATCAAGAATATAAAATTTCATCGCTTTCCTACGATTTAGAAAGAAAGAATTAGAAATCATATTAAATAAATAAATTTAAAAAAATTAATGGAAAACATTCTACTTACTCAAGTCTTGGTGTTTTAGGTAATAATCAGCTAAATAATAATAAATATTTTGAGTAACTCGATGTTTCGGAATATTTGATGAAGCTTCAATTGGTTTTCCATTATCAATATATTCAGAAATAAATTGAGAATATCTTTCAGGATTTAAATTGTCAGGAATCAGCGAAAGTAAAGATCGAAACAGCTCCTCAGTCTTTGAATCAATCGGATCAGATCTTTCGTCAAAACTTGGTAACGTTTTAGGAGTAAAGTGATCATAAATAAAATGAATATTGTCCCAATGTAGATTAACCCCCGTTCCTTTATGAGCAGTCAGGAAGCTACATTTTAGCTTTTTGTAAAAACAGCCAAGACAACTAAGGGTTAATTTCTCTCTTTTGATATTTGCTTGATTGGTCAAGAAATCAAGTGATAGAGATAGAAACTCTCCATTGGAATCACAACAAACTCCTTTATTCCCCAGATAAACGTGAACTGAATCAATCAAATCGACAACTTTTTCTTCGTCCGTGTTAACAAGTCGCATCTCGTTTATGCGAGAATAAGTGATTTGCCCTTTGGCAATGTGTTTTCGCATCTCGTTTATGAATGTTTGTAGTAAACAAGTCCAGGCCATTGCATTGTAATCTTCGGTGCCTAATTCTAAAAGCTTAATAGCAAACTCTCGATCAATTGATAGATTATCCCCATTCTTCAAACACATTCGTAATAGATTTAGCATTTGATGAGTGTATTGATTGCGTCGAGAAAGTATTTCGACACCTCGTTTCCAGTGTTGTGATGATTCAATAGCTTGACAAAAATACTTTTCTTCTTGTTTAGAAAGTTCCGGTTCAGATGCTAAAAGTTCAAAGATTTCTTCATTTCGATGTTGATCCAATAATGTGTCCAATTTATTTTCATTCATTTTGTTTATCATTGATTTAAGAATAGATGAACTGTAAACTGTTTGATTTGTTGTTTGAACCAATTTAAGGTTAGATTTTTCGAAAACTTCATTTGCCATCAGAAGATAATCAACTTTAGATTCTTTGATTCCTCGAAGAATCATGAGACGAATGAAAAATTTATCATAATCTATGGGATTCAATAAATCTCGCAGAAATGGAATTGATTCAGTCAAAAATATTGCTTCAGGTTGATTAAACTTCACTTCATTGGCAGTCAAGATTAAATTTATCTCTTCTGGTGTTATGTTATTGGTTGAAAGTAGCGGATACCATTTCCGATGAATTTCATAAAGCTCCATGAATTTGGGAGGTAATTTGATTAAAGCTGCTTGATCTGCTATTTCGTAGAGAAGATCACTTATTAGTTGGTTAAACTCTCTGCCTTTTGAGACGAATGGCTTTTGTCGGAACATGTAACGTGTCAAAATCAGATTCTCCAGTTGAGCTTTGTTTCGTGTTTTTATCTCTAAATGGCCTTCTTGCAGTATTTCACGAGTTAAAACACTTTCAGGAACATCGAGAATACTTTTCATACATATTGTCGACTATTATACTTCTAACAAGTTGGTCTTCGTTTTAGAAATAAACCAGAGCCTGGTCCTCGTTTTTACGCTTATTACTATCATTTGACATTTGACGCCAGAAAGACTCATACTCAGTGGAGGAATTGGTTGAGCGATAGAATTGTTAAGGATTTCTAACCTTATTACTTCATTTAAATCAACTCTGTGTTTTGTCATTTCATTATGAACAGTTATTAAAACTGAAATTAGGATTTTAACGACGAAAGTGTTTCCGGATTGAGAGATAAATTCAAAATTTCGAAGCATCATCTTGATTTGCTCACATACGCTTCGTAAATTATAGAGTTCTCTTAAACTCACGAGCTCGTCCAAAACTTTTGTCTTTCTATCATGACCATTACAAGGATTCCAGTTTGTAAATATTCTAACTCAACAGGCAATTTTGATCGTAAGGACGGTGAAAGTCTCAATATCTCTGAGACTAATACACGAGCTTTGAAGTTATCCCCGTCTTTAATTAAACCTTTGATTGCAAGTTGTAGACAATTATCGTGATCATTAAGCACGAAATAAAGACCCATTAAAGTGTCGAGAACAAACCAATTGTTTGGATCGATTCGATGTGCTCTTCAAAACATATTCGAGCAAACGTCAAATCTACTGACTGATTAAAAGCTCGTTTACCAGTTTCAACTAATAGAGTAACATCACCACCAGCAATGGAAGAACAGTCGAGAAAATAATCCAAATCGTTTTTGTAAGTTGTTTTGATTCGTGAGGTTGACAAACTTTGTTGGATACAGTTGATAAGATTGCTCGACTTACAGGGGCAGGATGGAGTTACATTCATTTTATGACGAAGATGATCTTTTATAAAGTCGTGAGTCAATTTAAGTAAATTATCTGGAAAGAATGGACTATGATTAGACCTCCAATTCCGTGGACCAGGAACCAACTCATAAAATCAGTCTTCGATCCAGTTAAAACCCGATTTTGTTAATTCAGAATATTATACGATTGGACGATCTCTTCAACCCACAGCCGTAATTTCGAGTCCACAAGTTTATAGTTGAGTTTATCCGATTTGATTAGATTAATTATTCCAAGTTTATCACTGCGATTCAATAGATCTAAAAATTGTTTAACTTTGTCAACTGAAGCTCGCAAAGAGTCTAATTGATCTTTGTTAATGTTCACATAAGATTCCAATTCTTTTTGCAAGTGGTTGATTTGCTTATCGAACTGGTCCTTTTCTTTTTCAATCTCATTGGTATACTCTTCAAGCTTTGTGCTCAATAAATTCAATTGATTACCAATAATATCCGATGAATATGAAAATTTTTGTCAATATCGATGTTAACGGTGTTATTATTGTTGTTATTGTCACGTTCAATGGGCACAATACTAGCTGACTTGTTCTTACTACATGTCTCACAGAATAGTTCATTAGTTGTCTTGTCCACAAATTCAGCGATAAAATTGTCACATTTGGAACATGAAGGTTCATCCGTGCTCGAATTGAGAATAACAGCACAACATCTTTTAGATGCTAAAATTTTTCGATGAAATTTGAGTAAATGAGCCTCACAAAAATCTTTTTTACTACACAAACAATGGAAAATGGCTTGATTGTTACAAACGGAATCATCTCCACATCTTTTCTTGTCAATGGCTTTGAGGTAATCAGCTTCGATGAGATCGGTTTTATATAAGACACATGGTCGGTTTTCTTGTTTACAATGATGACAAAATGTCTTTAAACATTTGTGAACATAAAAAACTTCACTTTGATCGTGACCACAATCCAACTTGTTGATCAATTGATTGCTTAATCCCTGTAAATGAAGAGATAATACAGATGTTAAAGGTGATAAGTATTAATAAATGGCGATGTAAAATATCTTCTTGACTAATTCATAGAAAAACAGATCAAATTCAAGCTGAATTCAGGTTAGTTTGGTGATAGTATGATGAATAGACTTAAGAAATATTTAAAGGATAATAAAAATAGATGAAGAATACTTACTTTTATCATAATTTAATGTGAAGATCAACATATTAAACAAGTTAAAATCATTGTCACCACTTAACTTCGATCAATTAACTAGAAAATATCAACTCAACATGAGACTATACCAACGATTTTGCATAAATGGCTACAATCACATTTATCTTTAATGAAAACAAACATTTAAAGTTAACAATTAACCTCGTTAACTATTCAAAAGAGAAACTTTCAGTTTCAAGAGGAAAATAATGGAAACACTTTTAATAATTGATTCACTTTCTTAGTGAACTAGATTCTTCCTAATTGTTTCAAATAAATATTCCAACTCTGACAAAAGGTTTAAATGGTTAACAATTGTAATAGTTAAGATAAATAAAATTAAATTAAGATCTAAAGGAAGTTTGGAGATTAAGGCAACAGGTTAAAGTTGACTTAACTATTTTCTAAAATTTGTAAACATTCAAAAGAAAAGGAACAAAACCAAAAGGCGCGATTCAATTTTAACCAGAATTTCTTCTTGATGCCAATTTATTTGGATGATATGCTTATCTAATTCTTAGAACTTGTCGTGTACCAGCTGATTTGAATTTTTGTTCTCTTCTAATGAAATAAATTAATTGTCGTTTATTATCAATTACATTTGTATTTATCAAGAAATTAAAAATTCTAATTTACATTAAACTTTTGTGAGAATGGAAATAATAAATTGAATTAGAATATGATATTTCTTTACTATTTAGGATATTATATACTATTTTGTTTCAACAATTTTTTTGTTCTCATAAAAAAATTAAGTTAGAAAAGTTTTGATCTTTGAAATCAATCTATTGAAAAAGATTTACTCAAATTATGACAATTGATTAATTGTTATACACTCGAACGTTAATCAATAATTGATCGCGTGGAATCACGAAAATTTCAAAAGTTCGGTGAGTTTCTTACGAGAAAACCTAAGATATTAAGTCATAAAATAATAGCATTAAAATGTTTTTCGTTGTAATAAGAATAATTATTCAAATTGAACAAATTTAGTTTCGTTAAGAAAAGATTCTGAAAAATTTGAGAAATATTGTTGAAAGAACCTTTCATCATGGAAATCGATCACTACAACTAATCAATTGTTACACATTCAACATGTTTTCGAAAATTTTTCAGCCTGTTTTTATAGATAGGATATTCCATCAATTTGTTACAAATTTCTTTACATCCTCTTTAATTTTATCTAAACTGTTTCGATTTCCTTTTGCTTTTGAAATTCGACTTTCGTAAATGTTAAAACAATGTTCCATTGATTGTTTTTCAAGATTTCTGATCGGTTTCACGAAGAAATCCTTTGCTACTCAATTCTGATGAGAGATAAGGAAGCTACATTTCAATTGATTGTAGAAACAACCAAGACAGCTGTTGATTAGTCTCTCTTCTTTCTGTTACAT